AAAAAGTGGGAGGGCAAACGAAGACCCCCCCACCAGCTGCTTGGAGCTGCGCCTGCTTCATGTGCACGCCGCCAGGCCAGCTTCAGCGCTTCTAGCCGTGTCCGCTGGAAGTCCTCAAGCGCTGTGGGTCAAAAAATAAATACCCAAAACGGCACCCTGGTAAATGGAACCAAGGACTGCTTCAATTGTGACCCATACCCATATGAGCTGTCGTTGATTAAGAGGAGTCCCTTCTTTAGGGAGGTGTCACTCTTGGAGGGGACACCCATGTCTGTACCATTTGCTTTCTTCTCGTGCCAGCCACTCTCGCAAACTTACTCAATCAATGAGCAGTCCTGCGAATGCGCAACTTTGCGAGGCATGGCTCCGCCAAAAGGACCATTGGCACATCTGCTAAAACAATCGGTGAGTCATCGGTCATCGGTGAGTCATCGAAAACGGTTAAATTTGCGTTGAATATACCTAGAATGGGGGCTCCACACAACTTGTTCGCTGAACGCTCGCAGTTGAGCCTGATCGTGTAAGAGCCATCAGCTGCGAGTAACAATGCATGAATCCGCGCAGCAAAACCGACGCAGCGCTCCGTGATGGTGACTCTTTCCTGCTTCGCAGTGTTGGCCTGCCGGCCCTTGATTTCTGTGTCCCTGTTGCAGATCTGCTGGGCAAGCCGTGGAACAAACGAGCTCTGACACATTTCTGATTGACCCACCCATGCTCAAACTCGCACGCCCAGGCTAAACACTTATGACAGTGGGCCATGTTGGTTCGGCTCCCGCCCAGCAAAGTGCGGCCCGTGCTTCCATGCGCCTGGTAGCAATGGAAAGCATCACCCCCCCTGCCATACATGATAAATCACAGGCATGGATTGCACAAAGCTGCAGAAAATTGAGCGAAAATGCGAAAATAAATTTACCAGTGGCTGGCGTGCCGCCTCACTGTGCACCCATTGATGCGTGGCCGACTCGCCAAGGCGAGTGCATCAAATCCTTGGATGCAGTGATTTCTTAGCAACTGTGGATTGAACGGAAGGCCTTCCCCTCTGCTCACTATAACACCTCGCACATCCCTTCCCAGCTTTCCGCCTTTTGCAACGGTCCCCATGGCCCTTTTGCCCAAGCGGCCTCAAACGATGGCGGAGCTGGCTGCCTTCTGTCCCTTGGGTGCTCCTGGTCTCAGGTCGTCGCTGTACAGGTCATCATCCTCGTCCTGCACACAGCCCGGCTCGTACCGCTTAGCTGTGATTCCGAATTCGGTGCGTCTGCGAAAGAATGCGGCCCAGCACTAAGTCTGGTGGCATGCCCCGGGTCAAGCTGCCGAACGGCATTAAGGCCGCAACACTCTGCCATCTCATTTGCTTCCCAGAGCCACAACGTCTACCGACCCTGCTCTTGCACTGTTGGAAAGTCATTTCCGCCAGGCGACTATTCCAAACAGTCCAAACGTTGAGACCGTATACAGCACAAGCGTGCCAAGCCACGCAAGCAAATTTCACAAGATCGCCTTGAAATGGGCGTACTGTTGCAAGCATCAAACTGCTTCCAGCTCCCCCCACTCCCCAGCCCGTCCGTGAGCTCTTCCTGCACTCGAGGGTCGGCAGGGTTGGTGAAGCCATCCGGTGGCAGAGCACCAGCACCGATGTAGGTCCTATAAGTGCCCTCCGCATCCTGGCCGCTTAACATCGACTTGAGCGCGGAAACACAGGCACGGACAGGATTGTGCTTTTTGTTGCTTCTTTCGGATCTGGTGAGACAACTCCATTCCAAACCTTGTCCCTCAGCCTCTCAGCCTCCAACCTTGGCGGGCTTGAGGTTCAGGACCCACGTGGCTGCCCAAGACACCGCGCCGAGGATCACGAAAATCCAGACTTGGAAGCTGATGCCGAAGAAGGTGTCAGACTGGGCGATGGCGCATCCGGGCCAGGGCGTCCAAAGGCCAAGCAAAACGCAAAACGCACATGCTGAGCTATGCTGCGCTTTCAGGTCGGCACCTCACCCTCCAGCTTACCCTGGCGGGTGGCTCCCTTAGCCACCAGCATGCTCCGGGCTATGCGCGCAAGCACACGTGGGCTATGAGCAACTGCCATAGGGTCCGGACAATCTCCTCCAAGGGGACATCCTCCAACGGCGGCAACTTGGCGTAGGCCGCCTTCCGTGCTTGCGTCAAGCCTGCCCATTCCTAGCAACCAAACGTGGCTTGACACCCCATCAAGCGCCTCAATGGGATTCGACGCCACTCCAATGGCCACAGGAACCAAGCGTGCCAGCGCAGAATTGTCTGGCGCAGGTGACAGCAGGACACATCAAACACGCCTTTGGAAGCATTGGCTTTCTGGGACAACTCTGACATCCATCAAGGTGCCTCTCGGTGGTGCCACAAAGCATGGCACCACAAAGGCTGCGACGAGCGCAAGCAGCAGCACCACAGGAAGCTGGCGTGCGGTGGTGCTTTCCACGCTACAAGGTGGGACAGGAACAGCGCAGCACACACTGTGTGACACATGCAAGCTGGCCAAAAGCCTGCGAGCGTGAGAGCTGACGTGCCATGGCTGGGGGATTCTGAGACTACCTCCGACCCTGTCAACTCAGCAATGCAGCTATGCGGCGAGCAGCACGGCCAGCATTCAGCACAACTCCAAACCAGGGTGATGTGACTTGAGGATCAACCCATTTGGCGCTTCCGTACGCAGAGGCCAGTTGTTGGCCAACCTTGTGCCGAATCAGAAAAGCCGCGAGCCTAGTTGTCTACAGGCAGAGTTTGTTCTTTCGCTCTGTCAAGCGTCTGCATGCTTAAGCTTCCATTGGGATCCCTCGCTCGTCACGCGATCTGCCTGTGAAAGAACCCGCTGAGAAGCCACTTGTGCAGCAATGCGGGCGAAGTGCTTGCTGGCATCGTCTTGAAACAACAGATGGTGCGCAAATCGCGCTTGGTTCAACATGACCATGCCAAGCTCGCGCTCGCACTGCGCAGAAAACAACGGAAAACAGGCCATCGATTGCTGGCTACGAGGTGTGATCGGGGGCATCATGTTGACCAAGTGCCATTGCAAACAAAGTCAAGCCAAGCAATCTCCGCCTCTTAGCCTCACATCTTGCGGAAAAGACACCTTTCGACCACCTCAAATGGGTCTGGTGCCAGGCGAATGGTGTACCACAACGCAGTCCTCAGCCGCTCAAGCACTACTACGCGCAAAGATCTCTCCATCCCATGGCCCTTCTGTCCAAGCGGCCTCAAACGATGGCGGAGCTGGCTGCCTTCTGTCCCTTGGGTGCTCCTGGTCTCAGGTCGTCGCTGTACAGGTCATCATCCTCGTCCTGCACACAGCCCGGCTCGTACCGCTTAGCTGTGATTCCGATTTCGGTGCGTCTGCGAAAGAATGCGGCCCAGCACTAAGTCTGGTGGCATGCCCCGGGTCAAGCTGCCGAACGGCATTAAGGCCGCAACACTCTGCCATCTCATTTGCTTCCCAGAGCCACAACGTCTACCGACCCTGGTCTTGCGCTGTTGGAAAGTCATTTCCGCCAGGCGACTATTCCAAACAGTCCAAACGTTGAGACCGTATACAGCACAAGCGTGCCAAGCCACGCAAGCAAATTTCACAAGATCGCCTTGAAATGGGCGTACTGCTGCAAGCATCAAACTGCTTCCAGCTCCCCCCACTCCCCAGCCCGTCCGTGAGCTCTTCCTGCACTCGAGGGTCGGCAGGGTTGGTGAAGCCATCCGGTGGCAGAGCACCAGCACCGATGTAGGTCCTATAAGTGCCCTCCGCATCCTGGCCGCTTAACATCGACTTGAGCGCGGAAACACAGGCACGGACAGGATTGTGTTTTTTGTTGCTTCTTTCGGATCTGGTGAGACAACTCCATTCCAAACCTTGTCCCTCAGCCTCTCAGCCTCCAACCTTGGCGGGCTTGAGGTTCAGGACCCACGTGGCTGCCCAAGACACCGCGCCGAGGATCACGAAAATCCAGACTTGGAAGCTGATGCCGAAGAAGGTGTCAGACTGGGCGATGGCGCATCCGGGCCAGGGCGTCCAAAGGCCAAGCAAAACGCAAAACGCACATGCTGCGCTATGCTGCGCTTTCAGGTCGGCACCTCACCCTCCAGCTTACCCTGGCGGGTGGCTCCCTTAGCCACCAGCATGCTCCGGGCTATGCGCGCAAGCACACGTGGGCTATGAGCAACTGCCATAGGGTCCGGACAATCTCCTCCAAGGGGACATCCTCCAACGGCGGCAACTTGGCGTAGGCCGCCTACGCAAGCTCCGCTGTCAAGTGACATGTCCACTTCGGTGTGCCTTGGGAGTTGCGAGCGCAGCCAGGAGCGCCACAGCGGCAGCGGCGTCTGGCTGCCCTCAGACTCGTTGCCCATGCACGTTGCTTCTTTCTGTGCCCCAAGCCCTGGAACGCCCTGCCTTGCTTGGGAGGTGCCACAAAGCACGGCGCAGTAACCAGCACTGCATATGCCACAGCAACCAGCGCCACAGGCAAGAGGCGAAGCTGGCAAGCGACAAAAAGTCATGACATGCTGCGAATTGTCACCGATCACGAAACATGAGCAGACTGAAGCTGCAAACCAAATAAACATCATCTTGCACCCGTCCTTGCTCGGTACATAACTACAGACCCAAAGACCTGAAACTTAAAAAAGAAGAATTGTGGTGCAGCCGCCTTACGAAGTGGCTGAGCCATCTGTGAGTTGCCTCCGGAGCGCAACTAGCTGTCGGTTCATACCCTAGGTGAAAGCGTAAGGTCGTCGAAGCCCCCGGCCTGCAGAGGCCGAAAGCGGATCGGATCTGTATGCTTGAGATTGAAAAGGCTGCGGTCGTGCGACAGCTACGAACCGGCAAGCCAAGGTGAGCTGGGAAAAAGCCCGAACCGCCAGCCGGTGGAACACAAATCCAATGCAGCTCTAAAATCGCTTCGGTATGTTGGTGGTCTTCGAAACACACTTGTGAGTTGGAGTGTCCTGGATTCCAAATTCTCTCTTCAGTGTCCCCGCGCCTATCGTGCATGTGCTGCACTCCGCTCAAAAGCTGCAGCCTGTATGGAAAACTACATTCTCAGGGCGGCAAGCAAGACTACTGTGCCACATCTGCCTTCGTTCCCCCCCTTCTTGCAGCCAAAGCAGCACCATGTTTGCAGTTTCTTGCTCCGTGTGATACTCTGCATCGAGGATAGCATCGAACAGCCTGTTCAATGTCACCCTAAGGTTCAACCCCCATTACAAATATGCTTGACCCAATTTGGATGATGACAATCCTTAGGTCAACAATGGTAGTTGCTAGAACCCCCATTATTTTAATGGTGGCAACTGAACCCCAGGGCTCGGTCTCTTCAAGTTTCTTCTGCATGGTCCCCTTCCCTTCGCACCTCCCACCAGCGGCATATTCCAAGATTTCCTCGCTCGAAAGTTGCGGCGTGTCAGGCTGCACATGGGTTTTCCCTTCAGACTCTCAAGTGGAAGCAAAGCCACGTAGAAATATCCGTTGTGAACAAACGCCTCCTGAGCTGCAAGGCTCCACAGCTGTGAGAAGCAAAAAAGCGACTTCAAGGCAAGCTGCAAACATATTGCGTCTTGCTGTTGAGCCCATGTTCAATTGCTCAACTTGCACAAGTCGTAAAGCCCAGCCTCCCAGTTTTTGTGAAGCCAGCCCAAAGAGCCAGGTTTGTACAAGCCGCCTGCAACCGAATGATGTTTGGATGGGAGCTGCACTCATTGAGCATGATGGCCTAACAGGTCAAGGGTTCGTCACCCTTGGTTTTTGCGGACTGAAACGCAGACCCGTGCCTGCTGCTTGATCATGTCCGGGGACCGGTCATGCTTCGAGGTTCTATCACTTTTCCTTGCGCACATAAAGAAACAGCCCCCCCCCCCCCCGCGTTCTTATGGGGGTTGCAGCACTGGCCAAGTGTCCGAAGGTTGTGCTGCTTGCACGCCATGAGTTCATCCTTAGCTAAAGAAGATCTTATTCGCGGAAAGAATGCAATGGACACGTGCACCACAATGCAAGACATTGGCAAAAGAAAACGCGTGTACGAAACATTGGTGTCACCACTTTGGGCGGAAAAACGACTGACCAAACGCATGGCTCAGCACAGGGACCGAAGTAAACAAGCGAAACCAGTCAAGCAAACACAGCTGGCGAAGAGCACGCACACCCAAAATACGGAAATTGTACGCGTCTTGCAGAAGGAGACAACTGCCAACATGGAAGCACTTTGCTGACGAGAGGCTGTCCGCTTTTCGGTTACAAGTCGGATGACCACCATAGTTCTCTTGGAGAGCATGAAGTCAGAAAAAAAATACCTGTCACACAGTTACATTGAAAAGGGAAGGCGCAGAACAAGATCAAGCAGCGCAAGGCAACCCTGCCGAGGAACAATTGGGCTACATCAGCGTCGTTATTCAACTGAGATGGTCTCAAAAAGCAGACACTCGCAACGGCAATCACTGGTAACATCAGCTTGTGTCTGTGGATCTCGCATCTGCAACAGCATCTTGGTGCAAAAGTTGTGTGCGCGCGCGCACGTGTCTTGCCAAGTTGCTATGCCCGTGAGGTCCACCGCCCTTGGAACAGGTATGCGTGCCAAGGTCCACACCACGATCGGCCGCAACTTTGTTTTTGCACCTTCCGAGTGGCTGGATGCGCTCCTCCAGTGTTCGAGGTGGCCCCTTCTCCTCAAGAACCAACTCGACTTGATGCTCAGGAAATGCGGGAATGAACCCAGGGGTCCCCTTAAAGGAAACCACAAGGAATGGTCCGTAGTAGTTTGTAGGGGTCGTTCTCTCATTCCCTGCTGGCTCATGCTGGCAACCATGAGTCCAGGACCTTTTCGAGCGGCGCTACTTCCTTAGCAAGGTCATATCTTTGCTGACTCCTACTTCGCTGCGAACCCAAGAATCCGCATCGGCAAGCAGAGCCTCCCTTCATGCTCGGGAATCTCACATTCGCTACACGCAAGCGCGCCTGTGTTCCCACAACATCCTGCGACTTTCGCCGCCAGGACAGCAATGATCCAAGGGAGCCCAACGAGACCTTGAAGCAGTGCCAGAGTTCGGACTTGATGCGAACTCGAGGGACACACATGCTGTGGCGCAGGCCCTCCGGAAGATGGAGCCCTGGTAACCACGCTTTCTCAGTTCCCGAATTCATGTTTCAAAGCACACCCGCCTTCGTTTCATTTGTTGCTACAGTAGCCTCTGTCCCCTTGGACGACTTGCGCCCTGCCTCCTCAGTGGCATGACAATGCGAATCAGGACCACAAATATGGCAACAGTTGGCTGCAACAACAAGAGCAGCGCGATGCAATTTGGCGCAAGGCTGAAACAGCAACAGCTGTTGAAGATCAACAGCACACTTGTGAATATGGATGGCACCCTTCGAATGCATAAACAACATCCCCCAACTGACGACATTGACGTGGAGCACAAGCGCAGAACAGCAACAGCCAAGACAAGGTTTGCGTTTGAGTTTAACCTTCGGGGTTGTTTTGGGTTTTAAGCTTCGGTTGTGGGCTTGCCACATTTCCAACGACCCCAAGCAAATTGGGTACAAAATCTCGAGCAGCCAAGGCACCGAAACATCATTTAGGGAACGTTGTCTAGCAATGCTGGCAGCGCACCCCATTGCACTCGCTTGCTTCCTGCCACCACATGGAGAGTGGCAAGGAAGGCCCAATGTTTGTCATGACCCTGAATTGCCCGTCTGCACCTGCAGCCTGAAGAGCAGGTTCATGCTACATACGACCCGGCCGAAGCATGTTTGCTTGATCCAGAAAGCGGGTCATGTGACTTGGCTCCTATACGTTGGCCACCTCAACAGATCTTACGTGACACGCAAACAATGCGAATGTGACACGCGCCCATGCTGCAGGGCATTTGGGATATCATATGTTTTCCGAACAACTGCTGCACCCGGCCCAAACCAGGCCGAATATGACGGGCGCTGGGTCAGGCCTTCCCCGAGCTCGATTTTGCCGTAGGGACGAAACCTACAACAAAGGTCCCCCATAAGGCGATGACCCCGTCAAAGCTCCGCCCCCCTCTCCAGCTCAGTCGCCACCGATTGGTTTTTGCCGACCGCAAGCAACGGGGTGAGACGGTGAAACGAAAAAGGCAGGCTCAAGCGGGAAGGCGGCTCGGCGCCGACCCGTTGACCCACTTGGCATTGGCGACGGTTCCGCGCCGTCAACGCACGTCTCCCCGAACAGCGGGAGCTGCAGCAGGCTCCGGGTGAGCGCGCGCTGCGCGGCGACTGCAAGAAGGGCAGTCCAGCGCCGCACATACGCCTGCACAGCAGCTCCACGCAGCAGTTCGGGGACGGTGCGACTTTGCGCGTGCGAGCAGGCGCGTGGTGGGTCGACACCACAGCGCGCTGAAGGGCGACGGCGAACGCCCCACCACCGCCGCTGCGGCAGCAAAGCGGCGCAGTGCCACAGGGGCGCGGAGGGACCGGACGTGGACAAGGCGAAGAACGAGGTCGAACGCCTCGGAACCAAATCGCTCGCCGATCGCAGAGTCAAGGACGACTAAGCGCTGCGTGCCGGGCCAGGACCCGCAACGGCGCCATCGTGCTCAGCAGCCAGCGGGTGAGGGTGCCCATTCCGGCGCACGAGCGAGACCAGCGTGACGTCGCAGCAAAGTGCCGCGGCGCCATACAGGACGAAGTCCAGTCGCCGGCGATCATCTGCGACGGCCACCAGGCGACAGTTGTGTGCGCCAGCCACTGCTGCGGCACGATGCCCAGGGCCTCGCGCGCAACGGGAACCCAAGCCGCTCGATTTGGGGGCCGCGGGTGGGCAAGAAAACCGCTGCGAGGACATGCAGCAGCATGATCGCCGAGGAGATCCGCCCCACAGCCAGCTGGGGAAGGTGGCCACCGCTATCAGCATTAAGCAAAGAATACAAGCACTGCTGCACGGCTTGGTCACTGGCACTGGCAAAGCCTGCTGCCAAGTTAGGGGGAAGCATGCATAGGGCGCAATTAGACCGTGGCGACGCGCAATACAAAACCAAAAGCCAGGCAACTTGCAAGTCGTGTAGGGTCGGAGAGACTTGCAAGAAACGACGCGCGCACCCCGGCCAACGCGTTGGGAGGCCCACGGCGCACGAGAAAGGCAGCAACACGCCTGCTGCTCGTCTGGGGACGGGCGGGCATTGGCCCCAGCAAGGAACGAGGCGACGCCGGCTGGAAAAACACAACTCCTAATACATATTTTCTTTGTCGCGCCGGGCCTGGCGGAGGGCGGCTCCTTCAACCCGCCACTGGTGGATGCAGGGTCTGTTGGAGGCCGGCCGAAACGAGGGTGGTGTCAACGGCCATGGACGTGAGAGTTATGACAGCGGCACTGGCCTTTTTTTCCTCCACTGGCCTCCCAGCAGAGGCGGCTGCATCGAGCCGGTCGGCGAGGGCAAGGTGGTCATCGACTGCCCAGGAGGCGGCACGCTGCCACCCGCGGGTCCGGTCTTCAGAAGGACCCGCGTCAAGGACACAGTCAGGCTCCCCGACAATACAATACTAGCCCACGGCGCCATGGTTGAGGAGCCTATGGCAAGCAAAGCGAGGAGCGTCGGCCGACGCGGAGTCCGGCCTACGGACAGGAAAGGCAGGCAGACTCGGCCGCTCGGGGCTTGCCAAGCAGGGGGGGGGGGAGCTGGGCTGCAAAAATTTGCGTCTGCTCAGGGGCAGGACACGCAGGACGCAGTTGGCCCGGGCAGAGGCGCGGCGCGGCAGCAACATCCAAGCAGCTGAAGATCCGGCAGGCCGGCGAGCTTGTAGAGAAATCCCAAACTCGGGTCTTGCCGGCATTGGGCCTCATGCGGGTGTGAACGAACAAGTCGTGCCCCAGACAAGGGAGGAAGTGGATGACCCGATCCGGCTGCCGGATGTCAGCGACGTCCTTGCTGATTTCCGGTACTGCGAGGCGCCCGCGTACAATTGTTTATGCAACGACTTGCTGCACTCGCGCCGCCAACTACTACCGAGTACTCGCGGGACCATGATTTGGCCGGGTCAGCACGTTCCGCTTTCTTTGGCACGGGCGTTTTGCCGCGTTGTCCCTTGGTCGCTGCTGTTCGCAAGTCTGTGTCGGCCTCTTGGGCTTCCTGGGCTGGCTGCTTGGCTGTTTTGAGCCGCTGCTTGCCTGATGGGCAATTTCTTGGCCACGGGGAACGTTTCGTCGGCGCAAACGCGCCTGAGTGCATGAGGAGGGGCCTTCCACCTTCCTTTGTGACTGGCAGGGCCAGCCGGCATCGTCCGGCCTTGCTGTTGACCTACCCTTGCCACCTCTTTCGCGCTTTCCTCTCGCCAGTGCGCCTATGAACCCCAACCCCTCCAAGTTCCAGGCGCCGCCTGCCTGCAACGCCGCTACCCAAGCGGTTTTTCCACCCCCCTTTTTGCAAAGGGGCCGCTGTTGCGGCCCTGTGCTCTTCGGCTCTTGTTCCTTGGGACGCCAGCGCGGTGGCCTCATCCGGCCGCCAGCGCGCGGCAAGCCTGTTGGTCAGCGAGCCGCTCGCCGGCGGTGCGTTCGACAAACTCCGGGTTGCCGATGGGCGCGCCCAAAGCAACACGTACAGGCGTTGCTCCTTTGAGTTTTTTTTGTGCCGGGGAACGGCAAGCACTGCCACATGGTGCGCGCAAGCAAACGCAAGGAGGCGGCAAAACACAAAAAAAAAAAAAAAAAAACGAGGAACTGGATGGAACTGATGGTTGGCACGCGGCATGCCGCACAGCATCAGCCACGACTGCAAGTGCGGAACGGTGGTGGCGCCACGCGGCTGCGCGCTTGCACGCGTTGCGAATGCGCCTGCCCAATGTCGAGAAAGCCGGCACGGCGCACGACGAGCCGTCATCAGCTTTGTTCGACGAAATGCGTCGCGCAAAAGACGCAGAGCGGGCACTGCGTGAACGCGTCACGCGTGACATGCTGCACCGGCTTGCCCAGGCCCAGGAGATGCGCTGTGCTTGTGGGACGCGTGCGTGCTGCTTCAGTGCTTTTGCCCCCGACGCTGAGCATCAGTGGAGGGAGGATTGGAAAATCAGCTTGCGTCGAGCTAGGAACCCTGTATGACGAGTTTTGTGAACAGGCCCCGCAGACGCAGCCGCAGTGGCGCTAGTGCTACGCAGGCCTTCGCCCGAAGAGGATCAAAAATCGGCGGGTAGCGGTGTGAAAGCAAAGTGGGAGGAACGCGAATGAGAAAGGCCACCCTACATCTAATCAGTTGCGCTCTCGCGGGACCAGTCAAGGACAACGTTGGGACTCGTAGCAACATCCTTTCCTGTGAAACGCAAATTCACTTGCAGCTGTCTGCCGCGAGTTCTAGGGCCGGCGGCCAGGAAAAACGCTGCGGGCACTGCGCGACCCTGTTCAAGAAGGTTCACAGAAGCCGCCCAGTCTGCTCAGAGGCGACAGGGTGGGCTGCTCTACAAGGGCCCATGACCGCTCTCCGCACGGCCAACAAGTCAGACGGTACTTTCAGGCCGTCCCCAAGGCCGCAGCGCCACACCCGCGGGCTGCGTCGCGACACGCGGCAAAGCGTCGGGGCTTCTGAGGCGGCTTCATGCAGCCACCCGGCTGTGTGCAACGAAAGGCCACGAACGCGAGTTGCTTGGGGGCAGTGGTTCCGGCGGACTGTGCGACCACGCCATGCACGCGCCACATCGCTTCGTGCTGGCAAAAGCAAAGGCAAGAACGAGGGGACACACGCGACATAATCGAAAGTTTAATACCAAACCCAAAGAGAGAGCCAAACCTCGCTTGCCAGGAGTTGCCCCAAAATATGCCTGCTGCTAACACTCGAGTAAAACTTGGGTAAAAGATTGCTTGCGGGAAAATTATTGGGCGCCTAAGGTCACTTGGTCGGGCTCAGCGCCGGACCACGCTGGTGGTCCTAAGATTGCTGGTGTATGTCTGCCAGCGAGGCTGGCAACGTGAGCAGGCCAACGGAGCAGTTGCAAGAGTTGTCGGACGTAGCATCCCCGAGCTGGAGCGCGGAGCAGGCTGAATCTGTAGGAACTTGTTGGAAAGCACTGGATCGGAGACAACTGCTGCAGTGGGGTCTTCACCCGGCCGCATTACCTTGCAAGCAACAGCCGCTGCTAGCTGCATGCGTGCTTGAATTTCCTGAGCAACAGGTGCCTCTCAAACACCGTTCTCCCAAGCAACTGTGCCAAGCCCGACGAATCCCGCTTGCAAACCCGGGCACTGCCGCAGCTCCGCATTGCATCGTCCCGTTGCCACAGACGTGCTCCAAACCTTGAACTCCAACAAGCTGCCAGGCCCCCCATATGTGTTCACAGAAACCAAGGGAGCAGCGCATCAGCTCCAAAAGCCCAGGACAAGCTGAGAACCTTCGGGAGATGACCTTGCAATCTAGAACTATTGGAGCAAGGTCGCAGCTGCCTGGTTCGACAAAGCAGTTTGAAGAAGCAACTGCTGGATGAAAATCCTGATAGTGACCAGTGAGATCCCCTCGTCGATGTGCCATGAGCTGGCAATGCGACGGACTTCGCGAATTCCACTTCTGCCGTCGCCATTGGGTCCAAGCCCTTGCAACTTCTTCGCAACGCTATCGAATCACGCGCACGCGTCTGCCTCGGTTGAGGCCGGCGAAGTGAAACAACGCTGCACGCCATGATCGCAAGCGCGATATAGGCGGCCACATGTCACGCTACACTGCAGCAACAAACTGCCCTTTGGGAAACCATAACGGTGCAGGCAACCACACAGGAAAAGCAGATGCAAGGCTGTAAGGTG